GTAAAACTACTCCTTATATATCTCACTTACCTTGAACCCCCTATTAGGGTTACTCTAAGTCAATTCTGTCTTATCGGCACAAAACTATAAGAAAAATACAGACTTACTTGCAAAATATAATACAAGTATAATACTATGCGGTGGTGGTGGTGGGGAACAAATATATTTCCATTATTCTTCTGGTTATCTTGATTTTCCCACAATGGTATTTCAAAGTCATAGCTGTCAGAATGTACCGTGACCAAACCCAAATATTTACCCTTCCTGAATAAAGCTCTGAACATGCATACCTTCTTTTTTTTCCTGTGCTTACCTACTTTTGGTATTTATTCAATGCTGAAAGATGCAAGAAAGTTCAAATGCTAAGATTTTCCTTTTGCGTTCTCTTAACATACCACTTTATTCTACTTGTGAGCACTGAGCTCCAAAGTATCTTTTGTTAATGATACAAAGCTAAGTATGAAATAATAAAACACTTTTATTTTAGTCTCGGACAACAAACTTGGTGCATAATTGGCTCCCTTCAACCCCAATTTCATACACACATGGCAAAAAGGGACAAACCAACAGTGAGTATATCTGCAATATGGATGCAGCTTCAATTCTATCTAGATGGATAGAAACTCATCAAGGTCAATGTAGCTTATTCCTGGCTAAGTTTTAGTTTTATTGTACCTCCTCTTTCATGATCTCTGCACACTATGTTGAGTATTCTGTTTCTTCTTCATATCTTACCCCAAACTGGAATTTGAAAGAAACCTTTACAGGATATGATTCTGCTGCTTAAAAAGGAGCTTTGTGCCATCAGCCTAATCCCTAGGTCATCCTTTCACAATCCAGACCACAATGTGTTACATTCAGAAGGCACTCCAGGATGTGTCTACAAAGCAAACAATACAAAGGATGTGAAAATGAAATGGCATTTTGCTAGTATTCAATCTGTAACCAACTACTTCCAAAGGTATAAGTGGGGTACAGGCTTTTGTAAAGCTAATCTTAAAAAAGAAAATCAAAACAATTTAATATCTTCAACTTTTTGATCAGGCCTCAAACTCTAACATGAGATAAATTCTTTCTTTTCTTTCATGCAAACAGCTTGGGATATTATGAAAGGAGGATGTGTTCCATCAAGAATGTATGTGTCGTTTCAAATACCAGTTGGACATTGATGGGAAACCTTCTGTCCTCCAGCCTACATCTTGGCAACCTCCTACCATTGACCATGCTGGCTGCAGCATCTGGGAGCTGAAGTCTAAAACGTCTGGCCAAATTCAGTTCTCCACCCCTGAATTGCAGGAAGTCAGATAGCAGGGAGAGGTATCTAACTTAACTGAATTAAAATGCAGCCTTGGGAGGTTATGGTACACCTTCAAGCAAAGGTTACAGACAGAGGCAAATCTGATTTAGTGAAAGGACATTGTGTTCAAAAGAGGAAAACTCTCTTATGCATGTTCCTAGCAAGGCATTCAATATATTTGTTTTAAAAAAAGACACATAAAGACCTACGGTTCGTGGCACCTTTGGGAACACAGTCATTGTAATTTGTTTAAACATATCACTTTGCCTCCTGGATTCAGTTGAGGGCAAACCAGTTTTATGTGTTTGTGGCTAAAGCCATCTGTGCACAGCACTGATTGAGTAGAACCAGTGATATCACAAAACCACCTCCTCCTTTCTAGGTATCCTATGCTTTGAAAATAAAAAGTTGGACATTTTGCCAGAAGTGAAGGGGCAAAGAGGAAGTTCAGTTTAATAAAAACTGTGCTAGAATTTGCTCTCTCGGCACAAAAGGGTCCAATCAGACCAGCATTGGTCCTGCAGTTTGGTTCAGGTTGGAGATGGACTGGTTTGCTCTTTTTCCTGGAAACCTCATGACATACATGCTCTTGTGAATTAGTTTGCCCTGAGCAATACCTACCCACAACCTCCGGGGTCCCTGTCAAGGGCTACTCTTTTTTTAATGGATAGGATTGCTCCATTTTGATTTTGGTTTGGTGTGTAGATCAAATCAAGGTATCTGTCTGGCTGTCCCTTTGCTAAAGCTACTTAACAGCATTCACAAATGGAAAGTTTCCTTGGCACTCACCTGTGAAGGGGAAGGGAAAGGAAGTTTTGCATTTCTTTTCAACTGTTCCTAATGCATCAGTATTGTGCCAGTAAGCAACAATGAAAACAATTACAAAACATCCTTTCCTTTTCTCTCTTCAGGTGAGTATCAAGGAAGCTTTCCATTTCTGAACATTGTTCAGTGACTTAGGCAAAGCATGCAGGAGGAGACAGGAAGGTTTTTGTTTTGTTTTGTTTTTTCTTTCCTTTTAAAGATAATAAAGATTGGTCTAGAAAGATGATGCTAAACAGAATTGCCTGAAGAGTGGCATGGTCAATCCCTACATATGGAGGCAAGGACTGCCCCAAATGACACAACTGAGCTGTTCAGTCACACCCTGAGTCACTTACCCCCTTAGGGAAAATTCTGCCATGATACCTACTTTTAAAATACATTTCTATCCATCGGTTCTCAAACTTTGATTCAAATAATTCCTTAGTTAGGGAAGCCTGGTGGTCACATTTCTCTCCAATACAAACCATCCTCACCATGCCATAGTGATGTTGTGCTGCAAATAACTCCAGTCTGGTATATAACAGTCCTCTGACTACCCATTCAGGAGCAAATCCCATTAAGTTCCTGAATTGATGTGGGATTTCAGTCTAGATGCCCCATCTCTTTGTGGAACTTCTGGACACTTGTTAGATATTCCATCACCCTCTCCTTTCTTTGCCTGCAGGGGAACTGGAATGAAACTTTTGTAGGAGGAGACCGTGCTAGACATCAGATCGCTAGAAATCAATAGTTTATGAAAATCCATCTATTCACATACTGAGCAAGAATAGAAGGTAGCACAAAGCATCTGCAAGTTTACAAAATATTAGAAGTTTAGAACCCAGCCTGCTTCCAAAACAGCCAGACAAAGCAGTTTTTTTCTCAAGCTGTCGAATACAAAAGGGATTCAGTGCTAACAACTGCATCATAAATGGACTGCGTGTGCATTTTCATTACTGTATGGTGATACGTTAAATATTATTATATGATACAATCGTATTATTGTGATGATGTTTAATCTACGCAAACAAACTTCACTGAATATATTCAGAAAAGAGTTGGTTATCAAGATAGCCTCACGTGATAAATAGAGCAGCTTTTAAACCAATAAAATAGGAACAGAAGTCATAACAAAATACCACATGGAATGATCCTGTGTAAACACACACCAAAGAAAGGTCTGCTAACAAAACAAGTATCCATTACTTAGTCATCATCCTAATATTGCATCGTGACCATGTTTTACAACTTCTATTCCACATCACTTTGCTGCAAGTAGTTTCTTAATATAGACACACTGCCCCTTTCAATCCAGTTTAACCATCCTTGGAACATGCAATTTGGGCAGATAGAATGCTGTTCTTCTATACTGATTTATGCTAGAGGTAAAAATGAGTAAGCCAGTGGCTCTCCAACTTTGGCCTGATGGAAGAGTATTCTCACCACTTTTTTTAATGACTGACAATATTTGACTGTCTTAATTTTTATAATGAACATACAGTAGTCTGAAATCAGAAAAGGTTCAACCTGGAAGAGGAGGTGCTCTCTTACATATATGGCACAAATGATCCAATCTGGACATGCCCATTTTCAAGAAAAAACATCTACATGTTTTCCTTCCTTCCTTCCTGTTTTTATTTTGTTTTTGAAGCACTATACCTATTTACAGTTTGAGGGAAAGTCTTATGGTGTATTCTGAAGTACCTAACCATAGTTGTGATTTTGTAACTAGCAATGAGTAGAATGAGTGTAGTGTCAGAATAGGATGCAGGAGACCTGGATTCAAATCCCCACTCCCTCAGAGAAATTCATTAAGAGGGTAGATTGGTAAAACCACTCTTTAAATATCCTATATTCCTTGAAAACAGATTCTTGAACTGCTGAGTTCTCCATAAGTCAGATGCAACTTGATGGCTCAGAACAACTGCTACTACCAATAACTACATCCATTGCTCAAAGTCTGCAGTTTGTGATATAGTGTTATATGAATCTATATAGGAATCTTACAAGTTGTGCAGAAAATAACTTATCATCATCTTAGAACTGCAGAGCTGGAACACACTCTATGCATGATCAAGTGCAGCTCCTGTCAAGGAAGCAGAGTGAGGAATCAAACTCCCAACCTCTGGCTCCACAGTCAGATACATAAACCACTGAATTATCCAGTAGTTCTCCTCTCAGTTCTTGTCACATCTAGAGATTTGTGAATTCACCAAGCCTCTTGTCTGTCTTTCTTATGTGTATATATATATAAACCAGAAACTATTTCTCTGTCACATCTAGAGATTTGTGAATTCACCAAAGGGGGTTGCAAGCCTCTTATCTGTCTTTCTTATGTGTATATATATAAAAACCAGAATCTATTTCTCCGACCTTTCAGTGGGGACTTAGTATTGCAGACATACATCAGCTCTTTATTCAAAGCGTTTACATCTAGTCTAGTGGTTCCCAACCTTGGGCATCCCATGTGTTCTTGGACTGCAATTCCCAGTAGCTTTCAACACCAGCTATGCCAGCTGGGGGTTCTGGGAGTTGCAGTCCAAGAACACCTGGGCTACTCAAGTTTGGGAACGACTGGTTTAGTCTATACAGGGATCATTTGTTGACAGCACAGTATGTTTTCAGATTCTTCTTTTTCGCACATCTCTTTAAAACCCTGCTGCATGTGCTTTATGCTGTTCAACAGGCTGCAGACTAGTATATACAAGGAAAAGTCCTGCGCTTGGAAAGAAGTATGCATTTTAGAACGAGAGACTACTCCACAAAAGTAGAACAATGAAACAGGAGGATGGCTTTGGATGGAAGTTAAAAATCCAAATGTCTAGCTACACATCCATTTTGTTCCAGTGTATGACCACAGCAGCCACTCTGAGACAAATGGAAGAAATCCGTGATGCCATCAAATTCTGTCTGGGCAAAACATCTGTTTCAAGTCTGCCACATAGGCAGGGGCAGAACCGTGAACCTCCAGGGAGCAGCTGGGAGGCAGTGTGGCTGCTGTCAGCACTGGCTTGGTGAACAGTTCCCGGAGCCCCTGACGGAACTTGGGGTCCCAAACACTATAAATGGCCACATTCCAACAGCTATTAGAAGTGAGGATCCAGAAAGCATAAAAGGAAAACTGGCACCACTGGTGGCCAGCCACTGAGCCCACCACAAATACAGCAATGGGTATGAAGGAGACTGAGAACGCAAAGGTCAGGATGCCGATGGTCTTGGCAGCAGTGATGTCTGAGAAGGAGAGTCGGGAACTACTCAGCTGCTCCTCCCCTAGTTGCTTCCGCATCTTGCAGTATCGATGGAGGGTAGTAAAAGTGACTGCATTGATGGCAAAGGTACCGCTTAAAAGGGAGAAATCAAAGACTGGATACAGCAGCATGACGTTCCAGCGGGGTTCAGGTAGCTTGTCTGGAGGAAAAGAGTAGCTACACATCTTGTTGCAGGGACTATACTGGAGAGTGATGTCAGGGGCAGAGAGCAGAGGGATCACTGCTAAGGAGAAACTCAAGGCCCAGGAGACCAGGATGAGCCACAGAGTCCTGCGTTTGGTGATGACTCGTTTCCTCTGCAGGGGCTGAAGCACTGCAACGCTCCTTTCCAACGAGAGCAGAAATATGGTGCTAATTGAGACAAAAGTACAGCCTGCAAAGATGGGGCCAGTGAGGAGGCAGGCAAGCTGGTCAGATGGACCCGTCTCTTGCTGCTTTGTGCCGAAGAATAACCCATTCGCCTCCCTGTAAACTGAATAAGGCACGATGATGAGCCCCACGGCCAAGTCAGCCAGGGCCAAAGAAGCCTTCAGGTAACCTTGGGATGTTCTGAATGGCTTGAGGCAGAGAAAAACCAGGAGGCTCAGCAGATTCCCGAGGGTGATGGCAATGACCAGGACAACCATGAGCGCTAGCTTGCTGACCTCGCCGACAAATCCCGGGCTCCAGGCTGTCGAATTGGGGTTTCCGCTGCTGCCGTTTCCACACATTGGCTGGTTTCTCTTCTCTTCTCTCTTCAGACGGGACTTCACAGCCTCCTTGCTCCATGGCCCTTATTTGAAAAAGTAATTCCAAGGAAGAACAGTGTGAACACCTGACACGGCATTTCAAGTTTGCAAGCTGTGGCCGACAAAGGCTCAGGGGGTTCCGACAGATAGCCTTTGAAGGTACGAAGTAGCTAAATAAAATCCGAATAGGTATGGGACAGCAATGGCAAACTGCAGCCTGTCTTGTTCTCCCTTCCTCACACACACACACAAAGGAGCAGAAGCAGATTAGGGTGCAGCTCCTACAAATTCATGCAAATTCATTCAGATACACCTGTAAAACCGATGATTTTACATCCTTTTGCTCAGAACACCTTCATTTTGACTGAGAGATTTGTGGATGTGTCACCATAAAGTCAGACTAATCCTGAGATTTGGGAGAACCCTGTTTGTCTCTCTTCCTCTGTTTCACCTGGGCAAATTTTTACATATTACTCCGGAATGAGCCACGATTCCCTGTGACAGCCGATGGAGGTCAGGTCTCTCTGCGCTGAGAAACCGGCCAAGCAAAGGACCCGCCTGAGCTGGAGGGTTCCGCAAAAGACTCCCGGGTTGGAGGCGCCTTTTGTGCAGATTACAGGAGTTCCATCCATTCAAGCCGGCGCCACATTTGAGGTTTTTCGTCCCGGGGACCATTCGGATAACATTCCGAAACTGCTTGGGTCTTCTCCGAGGAAGCCCAGCGTCCCGCTTGCCGCAAAGACCCCGCTAAATAAAAACCCAGCCGCGATGGCGAGCCATCCACCTGCGCGCTCGACTCGGTCCCCAAAGCTTCGGGGCGCTCCACACGCAGCTCCGGGCGCGGGCAACTCGTCTCGCTGCCCTCCCCTAAAGATTTGGACTTCCCTCGCAACTGGTCCAGCTGCCTTCATCCGAACCGGGTGGGATCCTGCGAGGTGCCGCGCGCTTTGCCAATTGCTCCTTGAATCAGACGCGCCTCCGGCCCCAGTTAACCCTTTCCGGTAGCTAGATAGAAAGCCACTCTCCGGAGACCCGAAG